CTTTTCCCCCCTCTTTTCCCCCCTCTTTTCCCCCCTCTTTTCCCCTCTCTTTCCCTCCTTCCCCTCCCGTTTTTCCCGAGTTCCTCCCTGCCCTGGCTGTCGCTGTGGCCCTGCAGGGTGCGGGGGAGCCCCTTGGCAGAGCCCCCACGGCTGCGTTTCCCCCCGCAGAACCGCGTGGAGATCAACGACGTGGAGCCCGAGGTTTTCAAGGAGATGATGTGTTTCATCTACACCGGGAAGGCCCCGAACCTGGACAAGATGGCTGATGATCTGCTGGCAGCTGCTGACAAGGTGAACTCGGGATTTGTGGCTGCTGGGGGAGCTGGGAATGCCGTGGGGTTTGGCACGGGCAGGTTCCCTGGATCTGGGGCTTCCCGGGAATCCTGGAAGCGCAGCTGGACCGTCAGGATGGCAGAGAGCACAGCTGGAGCCGCACAGCTGGAGATGCACCAGGAGTTTCTGTCTCCACTGCTGGTTTTTAGGCGTTTTTGAAGCTTCCAGAGGACTCTGCTGCAGACCTTCCCGTTAAACCATTAGGAATTTTTGCTCTACTGCTGATTTTTAAGGATTTTTTGGAGCTCCCAGAAGAGCCTGTTCAGCATGATCCGAGCTGGGCTGAGGAGACAATTACGGAGCAGACCCAGGGATGTTTTTCCAAGTGGTTATTCCCAAACCCCCGGAGCAGTGCTGAGTCTGGACAAACAGTTCTCCTCCTGCCCTGCCTGCTGTCAGCCCTGAGGCTCTGGAAATCCAGGACTGGGGAGTGCTCTTGGTTTTCCTGCTGCAGGGCCAGTCCCTGCTTTTTCTGGGAGCTGCTGGAATTCCCTGGGGCTCTGCTGGAATTCCCTGGGGCTCTGCTGGAATTCCCTGGGGCTCTGCTGGAATTCCCTGGGAGCTGCTGGAATTCCCTGGGGCTCTGCTGGAATTCCCTGGGGCTTTTCCCCCTCCCCTCTGCAGCCCCAGGGATGGGAGTGACAGTTCTGTTAACCCCTGAAAATCCATCATTTACAACCCAAACTATTCCCTTTTTCTTGTTTTTTCCCTGAAAAGTGACTCAGTGCTGGGGAAAGATCCAGTCTGGAGCCTGAATCCTGGGTTTATCCTTGGAATGGCTCAGAATTGCAGGATTCTCCCCCTGCCCTGGGGGTGAGAGCCCAGTGCAGTCCCTGGAATCCCGGGGTTCTCCCCTCTGGAATCCTGGGATTTCCCCTCTGGAATCCCGGGGTTCTCCCCCCTGGAATCCCGGGGTTCTCCCCTCTGGAATCCCGGGGTTCTCCCCTCTGGAATCCTGGGATCTCCCCCCTGGAATCCTGGGGTTCTCCAGGGCTGGGGGTGCTCTTTGTGACCCTGGGCTCATCCATTCCAGCTGGGATCAAGGTGGGAATCAGAGCCAGGAGATTCCAGGACGGGTCACAGCCGTGCCCATATTTATCCAATATTCCACATTTATCCAGTATCCCACATTTATCCAATATCCCACATTTATCCAGTGTCCCACATTTATCCAGTATCCCACATTTATCCAGTATCCCACATTTATCCAATATCCCACATTTATCCAGTATCCCACATTTATCCAATATCCCACATTTATCCAATATCCCACATTTATCCAGTATCCCACATTTATCCAGTATCCCACATTTATCCAGTATCCCACATTTATCCAGTATCCCACATTTATCCAGTATCCCACATTTATCCAGTGTCCCAAGGCGTTGCCTGGGGGCTCCCAGCTCCTCCAGGAGGAGCAGCAGCTCGGGCAGGCACAGCTTCAATTCCTGCTTCCTTGGCTTTCCCTTTCCAGCTCATTCCTGCCTTAAAAGCAGGAATAAAAACCTCTCCAGTGCACAGAGCAGCCGATATTTACCCCGGGGACCGGAGCAGCTCCCTCAGAGCTCTGCTCTCCCTGAGGAAAAAGCTGGAATTAGCCCAAAACCAACCAAAATTGATCCCCAGGAGCTGCTGGGGCAGGGGGAGCTGAGGTGGGAGGAGAAGGAAGGGGAGATGTTGCTGCTCAGAGCCCGCAGTGGCCACTCCGGGCCAACAATGTAATTAAAAATGAGTTATTTGTAGCAAAAACAGAACTAAAGAGTGGCTGCAGGGAGGAGGGAGCTCCATCTCCAGCCCCATTTGTTACATCTCGAGGCTCTGACAGGCGATTATCCAAACCCAGGGCTGGCCCCATAAACTGCTTTATTTATTTATTGAGACAGATTAGCAAAGAAATTCGATTTGCCTCCCAATCTGCCGGAGAAAACTCGGAGTGCTCTGCTGCTGTGATCAGCCAGGGAAAACGGGGTTCACACACTGCAGTTAAACCCCGGGAAATCTCCAGCAGAACCTCGGATCAGGAGATCAGGAAATCAATTTACAGCCTTGGAGCCGATCCCATGGCCAAGATCCCACAGATGGATCCCAGCTCGGGGCACGGGACATTCCTGAAGTGTTCCTGGAGGAGCCCCCCTGCAGGTGTTCCCTGCTGGAATTCCATGTTTTTATCCCAGTCTGCCCTGGAGAGGCTGAAGGTGATGGGTGAGGACGCAGGGGCAATTCCATGTTTTTATCCCAGTCTGCCCTGGAGAGGCTGAAGGTGATGGGTGAGGACGCAGGGGCAGTGTCCAGGTGTAATTCCAGGTGTAATTCCAGGTGTAATTCCAGGTGTAATTCCAGGTGTAATTCCAGGTGTAATTCCAGGTGTAATTCCATGTTTTTATCCCTGTACGCCCTGGAGAGGCTGAAGGTGATGTGTGAGGATGCAGGGGTGGTATCCAGGTGTAATTCCAGGTGTAATTCCATGTTTTTATCCCAGTCTGCCCTGGAGAGGCTGAAGGTGATGGGTGAGGATGCAGGGGCAGTGTCCAGGTGTAATTCCAGGTGTTATTCCAGGTGTTATTCCAGGTGTTATTCCAGGGGTAATTCCAGGTGTAATTCCAGGGGTAATTCCAGGGGTAATTCCAGGTGTAATTCCAGGTGTAATTCCAGGTGTTATTCCAGGGGTAATTCCAGGTGTAATTCCAGGTGTAATTCCATGTTTCTGTCCCCAGTATGCCCTGGAGAGGCTGAAGGTGATGTGTGAGGACGCTCTCTGCAGTAACCTGTCCGTGGAGAACGCGGCCGAGATCCTGATCCTGGCTGACCTGCACAGCGCGGACCAGCTCAAAACCCAGGCCGTGGACTTCATTAATTAGTGAGTAATTAATTGCTCCTCCCCTTTTCCTCCCCTTTTCCCTTTCCCCTCTGTAATTCCA